TGGAAGAAAATGTGGCCAGAATGTGTAGACCAAAGGGATTTTGAAGGGTTGAGGCTAACCCTGGGAATCTTATGCCAGTTGAGGAATCCATTGTGGCATTGGGAAAGTCCTTGGGGGTTTGGGGGTTAGTGGGGGTGATGTGGAAGAGTTGGTGGAGGAGGACAATGAAGAACCAACCACTGATGAGCTGCTAGATCAACTTCAACAGCAAGAGGCCAGACCTGAGGAAACTCCCTTTGGAGGAGGGGAGAGAGAAAATTGAAGAAGTTGCCTACTTCAAAGATTTAAGGAAATGTGTGGAATGTGGGCTTAAAGTGCAAACCTTTTTGATGACAATCACCCTAACGCAGCTATTGCAAGCCCTGCTGGTGACTATTACACTGACACATGTTGTGAAACACTTTAGGAAAGTCATAAAGGAACGAGAGGTACAGGCCACTATGGACAGATATGTTGGGGCGACAGAAGTCCAGTGACTCTCAAGCTGGGCCCCAGTGGCATTAAAAAGAAGAAGGGAAGTAACCCAAAAAGGACTTGACACCTCAAGTCTTAATGGAAGGGATTCCCCTTCAAAACACTAAGACTCTCTCCTCCTCCCATCCCATCAATCATCACCAGATCTTCAATAAAGGTAAGTGTCATGTAACTGTGCATGCCTTTTTCAGTTTGTGTGTATTAAAATTAATATTTCATGTGGTAACAATTTTTTTTTCATACTTTGGGGTGTCTTGCACAGGATTAATTTGATTTCCATTATTTCTTATGGGGAAAATTCATTCGCATAACGATAATTTCGCATAACAATGAGCTCTCAGGAACGGATTAATATCGTTATGCGGGGGTCCACTGTATAATCATGTATCTCTCCCATCTGCATTCTAGGGAGTACAGGTTGAGGAACTTCAAGCGTTCCCGGTAATTGAGGTGTTTTATCGCAGTTATGTGAGCCATGAAGGTTCTCTGTACATTTTCTAGGTCAGCAATTTTACATGCCTTGAAAGGTGCTGTTAGTGTGCAGTAATATTCCAGCCTAGATAGAACACGCGACCTGAAGAGTGTCATCATGGGCTTGACATCCCTCATCTTGAAGGTTCTCATTATCCATCCTGTCATTTTTCTAGCAGATGCAATTGATACAATGTCATGGTCTTTGAAGGTGAGATCCTCTGACATGATCACTCCCAGGTCTTTTACTTTAGTTTTTCGCTCTATTGTGTGGTTGGAATTTATTTTATACTCTGATGTAGTTTTAATTTCCTTACGTTTTCTATATCAGTGTAATTGAAATTTCTCATCATTGAACTTCACATTGTTTTCTGCTGCCCATTTGAAGATTTGGTTGATGTACACTTGGAGTCTTGTGGTGTCTTCAATGGAGGACACTGTCATGCAAATTCGGGTGTCATCTGCAAAGGAAGACACGGCGCTGTGGTTTATAACCCTGTCTATGTCAGATATGAGAATGAGGAACAAGATGGGAGCTAGTACTGTGCCTTGTGGAACAGAGATTTTCACTGTAGTCACCTCAGACTTTACTCTGTTTGCTAATACTACTCTTTGTGTTTTATTTGTTAGGAAATTATAGATCCATCTACCAACTTTTCCTGTTATTCCTTTATCACACATTTTTTGCGCTATTACACCATGGTCACACTTGTCAAAGGCTTCTGCAAAGTCTGTGTATATTACATCTGCATTTTGTTTGTCCTCTAGAGCATCCAGGACCTTGTCATAGTGGTCCAGTAGTTGGGACAGACAGGAGCAGCCTGCTCTAAACCCATGCTGCCCTGGGTTGTGTAACTGATGGGTATCTAGATGGGTGGCAATCTTGCTTCTTAGAACCCTTTCAAAGATTTTTATGATATGGGATGTTAGCACTATCAGCCTGTAGTTCTTTGCTATTGCTTTATTGTCCCTTTTGTGGAGTGGGGTTATGTCTGTTCTTTTTAGCAGCTGTGGGACGACCCCTGTGTCCATGCTCCCTCTCCATAGAACGTTAAAAGCACATGATAGTGGCTTCTTGCAGTTCTTGATGAACATGGAGTTCCACAAGTCTGAGCCGGGGGCAGAGTGCATGGGCATGTCATTTATCGCCTTTTCGAAGTCATCTGGCATCAGGATAATATCAGATAGGTTTGTGTCTACCAAATTCTTGGTCTCTCTCATAAAAAATTCATTTAGGTCTTCGACTCTCAGTCTGGTTAGCAGCTCGCTAAAAACCAAGTCATATTGGGACTTGAGTAGCTCACTTATTTCCTGCTGTCATCTGTGTAGGATCCATCTTGTTTAAGTAGGGGCCCAATACTGGATGCTGTTTTCAACTTTGATTTGGCATAGGAAAAAAAATATTTTGGATTTCTTTCAATTTCATTTATGGCCTTTAGTTCATCCCACGTTTCTTGACTCCTGTAAGATTCCTTCAGCTTTAGTTCAATGTTTGCTATTTCTCTGACCAGTGTTTCCCTATGTATCACAGATATATTGGCCTCTTTTAGCCGCTGTGTTATTCTTTGCTTTTGCCTGTATAGGGAGGGCCTTTCTCTTTCTAGTTTACATCTTCTCCTTTTCCCTAAAGGAATAGACCTTGAGCATACTTCGAGTGCCACAGAGTTAATTTGTTGTAGGCATAGGTTGGGATCCGTGTTGCTTAGGCTGTCTTCCCAGTTTATATCATTTAGGACTTGGTTTACTTGATCCCACCTTATACTTTTGTTACTGAAGTTTAATTTGGTAAAGACTCCCTCGTGACTGATCACGTCCTCATGTCCTCCTTTGCAGATGACACCTGAATTTGCATGACTGTCATCCATCAAAAACACTCCAAATCTCCAAGCGGACATCAACCATATTTTTAAGTCATCCGCAGAAAACAATATGAAGTCCAAAGAAGACAAATTTCAATAACTCTGCTAAGGAAAACTCAAGGAAATTAAAACTGTATTGGAGTATGAAGCAACTTCCAACCAAATAAATAGAACTAAAAATCAATGTGAAGAATCTGGGAGCAATAATGTTGGAGAATCTCACTTTCAAAGATCACAATAATGTATCTACCACATATGCTAGAAAAATGACAGGGTGAATAATGAGAACCTTCAAAACTAAGAATGCCAAGCCCATGATGATTCTCTTCAAAATGCTTGTTCTCTCTAGGCTGGAATATTGCTGTACACTAATGGCCCCTTTAAAGGCATGTGAAATTACACACCTTGAGAATATACAGAGAACTTTCATGGCACATATAAGTAGGATAAAGCCCCAAAATTACTGGGAACAGCTGAAGTCCCTTGATTTGTATTCCCTGGAATGCAGGCAAGAAAGATACATGATAATATCACTCAGAAAATCCTAGAGGGACTAGTCCCAAATCTGCCCAAGAAAATCACTCTCTACAAAAACAAAAGACTTGGCAGGAGATGCAACATCTCCCCCAATGAAAAGAAGGGGCACCACAAGTATGCAGAGACAACACAATAAGTGTCAGGGGCCCAAAACTGTTCAACTGTCTCCCAACATACCTAAGGGGGATTACCAATAGACCCTGGACTGTCTTCAAGGAGCTGGACAGACATCTAAAGTCAGTACCTGACCAAATGGTTTGTGGTACATATGTTGGTTTATGTGTGGTCAGCAGTAACAGCCTGGTCGATCAGGCCCTGATCCACCACAAGGCTTGGTCACAGACTGGGCCATGGGGGCACTGACCCCTGAAATACCTCCAGGTATACTTCAGGTATTGACAAATAGTGGTAAGAGAATGGGTCATAACTGTAGGATGCTTCTTAATAAAAAACAGACATTATTTTATATTTTACAATTATTACCAGATAGCTACACCATGGAACAAAAAAGTTACGTATTTCATAGGCAAGTTATTTTAAGATACATTAGCAAAAATCATTTATTTTTATTTTATATTTTTTTGATGCATGAGTGGTACAGAAGTGCCAATCAGCAATTAGTAGTGTTGCCTGGCAAGCTGCACTAACAATGACACAGCAGATATAAGTACCAACTGAGGGAGGAATAAGGTTAAGTTACATCAGGGTACTTTAATAATAATAATAATATCTTTATTTCTACAAGTACAAGGTATAGAGACCTAGCTGACATCAATGATGTACTGTACTACTATACAGAAAGCCACTTGTTATGTTCTCAGAGCATTTTGGGCAAATTAGGTCAGTTTTGTCCCAGGATGCGACCCACACCAGTCGACTAACACCCAGGTACCCATTTTACTGATGGGTGAACATAGACAACTGGTGTAAAGAAACACGCCCAATGTTTCTACCCTCGCTGGGAATTGAACCCAGACTCTCGCCATGTGAAACAAGAGCTTTAGCCACCAGGCCACAGTTGGGGTTTTTGGAACGCTTGGTTACGTTTCTTAATATTTGCACAACACAGTACTACCCAACAACATATGACCCACTATTATTACATGTGGAGTGCTAAACCTGTAGGGTTATACAGTGCATGTGGGGGGGAAGGTATTCATGCTTAATTCAGGGAACCAGAGTACAGATCCAATTCCCTAGATGGAGAGCCCCTCACCAGCGTCAAGGAACCTCCCTTGAGGGGAACTCACTCATTACCATAGAATTTGAATATTTTAAAGCCAAAATTTGTAGAGGAACAACATTCAATTATCAGCTCTGGTATTCTCACAGGATGTTTGCGGCGCACAGTAAACTAGCCTCTCAGGCGGCACAATTAGCCCTGGTCCTGTAGCTACTAATTGGTAACTGCAAATAGGTAATTACAAGTTGATCATGGAGTGCTATAAACCAGCCGATCAAAAAATCACAAAGTAAAAAGGATACCGAGTAGGATTTCAGAAACAAGACTTAGCAGTCACTTTCAAGTAAATCGGTCGAAAATTTTGAGATGGGAGCCATGAGTTGGAGCTCAACCACCTTAACTATAATGAATAATTATTATTACATTCTAAAACAAGCACAAAATCCGCATGGATGATACAACAAACGGATAGTTACAAAAAGTTATTGTTGTTGTTGATAATGTTGGAGGATTTGAGGGCCACCAACAGTGACGCCGTACTGAGATCTGCTTCACTCTTACTGTAAGTATGTACTGTAAATTAAGTTTATTCAATTCAATTCAATTCAATTCAAAGTTTATTCTCTATAAGGATTACAATGCTGAGTTTACAGAAATTTGGTTATTGTTTGGTTTACATGTTGTAAATAGTGATTACAGAGTGTACCACTAGAACGCTTAGCATGGCTAGGCATTTCGGGCAGACTTAGTTTTATTCTTAATTGTAAAATATTACAAATTATGAGGTAAGTTGGTATTATGGCTAAGTGACTAAATACTAGTTTGTGAGTTTAGCAATGTGAATGCTTTTGTTTTGGCACAGTACATAGTTTCAGTATTGGAGTATCACAGGATTCATTATTTTAAGACTGAGATTAATATTTCTGTTTATGGTCAAATGATGAGTGAGTGTAAGTGTGAACCACCAGGTGGTATTCGTGTAGTTAGTTTGATTGGGTTTATCAGGGAGATAAGATGTTTTCTAATGGTAGTTTTGAAGGTGATGAATGTGCCTGCAGTTTCTAGAGTTCTCAGGTAGGGTATTCCAGATTTTAGGGCCTTTGACATACATTGAATTTTTGTAAAGGTTTAGTCGGACACGGGAATGTCGTAGAGATGTTTGTGTCTGGTGTTATGCCTGTGGTTCTGTCACAACTATCAAGAAAGCGTTTTAGGTCAAGGTTGATATTAGAGTTTAAGGCCCTGTAGATGTAGATTGCACAGTAGTAAGTGTGGATGTACTGAACTGGGAGTAAGTTCAGATCTATGAAGAGTGGGGGGGGGTGTTGCCAGGGATGGGATTTAGTGATTATTCTTACTGCAGCTTTTTGTTGGGTTATTATTGGCTTTAGGTGTGTTGCTGCAGTTGATCCCCAAGCACAAATAGCATAGGTGAGGTATGGATAAATAAGTGAGTGGTATAGTGTGAGAAGGGCATTTTGCGGCACGTAGTATCGTATCTTGGAGAGGACCCCAACCGTTTTGGATACTTTTTTGGCTATATGCTGGATATGGGTGCTGAAATTCAGGTTGTTGTCAAGGTATAAGCCTAGGAATTTTCCCCATTATTTCTGGTAATTAGAGTGTTGTCAATCTTAATGTTAATTTGTGCATCTCCTGCTCTGCTACCAAACATAATATAGTAGGTTTTGTCAGTGTTAAGCGTAAGTTTATTGGCTGTCATCCAAGTCGATATTTTAATCAGCTCCTCATTCACAATGGTGTTGAGGGTGGCAAGATTAGGGTAAGAGATGACATAAGTCGTGTCATCAGCAAAGAGAATGGGTTTCAGGTGTTGGGATACGTTTGGAAGGTCATTGATGTATATGAGGAAGAGCAGGGGACCAAGGACACTTCCCTGCGGAACTCCAGTATCAAGTGGCCGTGTTGCTGATGCTGTGTCTTTAATGGTGACGTACTGATACCTATTAGTAATGTAAGATTTGAAATAAGCAAGCGCATGGCCTCTTATACCGTAGTGATCAAGTTTGTGGAGTAGGATGTTGTGGTCTACTGTGTCAAAAGCTTTTCTTAGGTCAATAAAAATTCCTAGTGGATATTCCTTATTTTCCAATGCTGTGTAAAGCAGATCTAGCATTTTTATGATTGCATCATTAGTGCTTTTATTTTTCCTGAATCCAAACTGGCAGGGGTTGAGTATGTTTTGAGCCGTTATAAATTAATACAGTCTCCTGTGCACGAGTTCCTCAAAGATTTTGGATAGCAATGGTAAGTTAGATATTGGCCTATAGTTGTTTAAGTCTGTAGGGTCACCACCTTTATGCATTGGTGTAACCCTTGCCATCTTGAGTAGTTTCGGGAAGGTGCTAGTCTCTATTGACTTGTTAAAAAGTAATGAAATAGCATGCGAAAGGACATGGGCCGCTCGCTTGTACAGTAATGGTGGGACATGAGACAGATTCCCCGAGTTATTTTTAAGTGACTTTATGATCTCAATGACTTCCGTGGGCTCAGTTGGTGCAAGATAGAAGGAATTAGGGAAATTTCCATCTAGGTAGTCCCCGGCATGGGCATTGGTATGTGGGATTTTACTGGCGAGATTAGATCCTATGTTTGAGAAGAAGTCGTTTATCTTGTTAGCTGTGTCAGTGGGATGTAGTGGTGTTTCATTAGGTTTAGTTAGGACAATATTCTTGGTTTTTCTCAGTTTGTGGGTCCCTAGAATCTGAGAGAGTGTTTCCAGGTCTTTTTATATCTCCTCTAGTGTCTGTGAATCTACTGGAGTAGTATAGTTGTTTGGCTTTTTTTATCACTTTGGTGAGAGCTGATGAATAGTGTTTAAGAGTATCTTTGTGTATTAAGCCCTGTCTATATTGCTTTTCATATTGGTGTTTCTTGTCAATGGATTTCAGAATGGTGCTGGTTAGCCATGGACAACCAAGCCGTTTGTTTGTGATCTGTATACACAAATACAGTTACATAATAATAATAATAATAATAATAATAATAATAATAATAATAATAATAATAATAATAATATAATAATAATAATAATATAATAAAATAATAATAATATCTTTATTTACTACAAGTACATGTACAAGGTATATAGTCCTAGCTGACAACAATGACATACTACTATATAGAAACTCCCTTATTATGCTCTGCATTTCGGGCAAATTAGGTCAGTGTCCCAGGATGCGACCCACACCAGTCGACTAACACCCAGGTACCCATTTTACTGATGGGGAACATAGACAACAGGTGGAAAGAAACACGAAAGACCACAACTTTGTAATACCCACAATCAGCGGCCAGGCTTCAAACACCTTTTATTGTATAGCAATAAAGGTTTAGTGGTTCCCAGCCTTGATAAAATTAACAGCAAGATATTCTGAACAATGTTTGTGAACAATTTTATAAACTTGATTTAACTTCAGTTGCTTTATCTTTCAGTTTTTTTTGTCAAGGCAAAGTACCATGAAGAGCAAGCGTAGTCTATGACATTGTATAAGGGCTAGACATAGGGTCTTGCGAACCTCAGTAGGTAGACACTGTGCTTGTCTGTAGAGGAACTTCAGTCTGGCAGTTTATCATACATAGCAGCATATGTGTAGAGAACTTAGGATAACCTAAAAGGTTAGACAGAGTGACTTATTTCCATTGGGGTCCTTTTAATATCTTATTATTAAACTATATTATTATTATTATAATCAAGGGGAAGCGCTAAACCCGGAGGATTATACAGCGCCTGGGGGGGGGATGTGGAAGGCATTCAGGCTTAATTCGGGGAACTGGAGCACAGATCCAATTCCCTAAATCAAGAGCCCCTCACCTACATCAAGGAACCTCCCTTGAGGGGTATTATACTATAAAGGATATATACATCCTGTGGGCTACCGCCCACAGGATGGGTATGGGGTGCATAATAAACATATTAAACTAACTAACTCCCTTTCTGTCGCTACATTCATCAGGTACCTTTTGGCTCTCTTCTTGAACTGCTTCATGCTATGACTGGCTTTGACATGTGCAGGCAATGTTCCATCCCTTTATTGCCCACAGGATGGGTATGGGGTGCATAATAAACATATTAAACTAAACTAAACCTTTATTGCTGTACAATAAAAGGTGTTTGAAGCCTGGCCGCTGATTGTGGGTATTACAAAGTTGTGGTCTTTCCCTCTAGTACTATGATTGCTGTGGTTCCCAGCCTTGATAAAATTAACAGCAAGATATTCTGAACAATGTTTGTGAGCAATTTTATAAACTTGATTTAACTTCAGTTGCTTTACTCTGTCTTCAATATGTGCTCCTGCAAGCAGCAGATCCTGGCGCAACCTGCTGCCGTTTGCAATGGCTGTCTGGCTGTTCTGCCGAGGAGGAAGAGGCACCTAGCAACATCTGTTGTTGGGGTAATGATGCATTCCTTAGAATACTTGTTAATTGCTCATTACTCTGTAATTTTTTCATGATTGTAAACATGTATGGACGTGTTTATGATTCATTACCTTTGTAACTTGTCATGTTTGTGACCAGCTCTACCTGGAGTTCATTACCTTTGTAACTTAGTCATGATTGTGACCAGCTCTACCTGGAGCTCATTACCTTTGTAACTTAGTCATGATTGTGACCAGCTCTACCTGGAGCTCATTACCTTTGTAACTTGTCATGATTGTGACCAGCTCTACCTGGAGCTCATTACCTTTTAACTTTGGTAGGTAAGACACATAGGCAACAGTTAGGCAACTTTATTCCGAAATAAATAAACTTTATTTCGGAATAAAGTCGCCTAACTGTTGCCTATGTGTCTTACCTACCAACCTGTCGGTATTGTATACCATTTTGATGTTCACTTTTGTAACTTTCTCAGCTATCAAAACTTTGGAGTCCAGTCCCTGGACCCATTATGTACCTCTGTAATCTTTTGACTACCGCCCACAGGATGGGTATGGGGTGCATAATGAAGATATTACACTAACTAAATTTCAATATTCAGCATATCCAATTGTTGCAATTCATCCTGGCCTACATGCTCTCTTGGACTCAGGTCCAGGATGAATCTTATCATTTTGTTTTGGGTGATTTGCTGTTTATCTTTCAGTTTTTTTTGTCAAGGCAAAGTACCATGAAGAGCAAGCGTAGTCTATGACATTGTATAAGGGCTAGACATAGGGTCTTGCGAACCTCAGTAGGTAGACACTGTGCTTGTCTGTAGAGGAACTTCAGTCTGGCATTCGCTTTCCTTACCACACTGCTCCCAATCAGCTCTCCTGACATGCATGGGTTAAGGGGATTCCCAGATATTTTACTGAGGAAACGGAAGTGATGGGTTCCCCATTATACCGGACATTAAAATTATTTACCCTTCTCAGTTTTCGTTTCGTGCCCGAGTATGGCTTCCGTTTTCCAGAAGTGTAACGATAGTTTGTTGTCTACTAACCATTTGCTGCAGGACTCCAGTTCTAGTGTTATTACATTAGTTATATCTTGTGGGTCTTTACCTGACACTAACAGAGCACTGTCATCCGCATACTGTAAGAGTTTGCAT